TATTTTTGGTAACTAATTCTCTTGAACTATGTGTTTAACATTGAGGTGAGAGGTCATAGGACTGCATGGCACTGCCCGAGTTCTGATGTGTGCATTTTGTGGAAACATTACTATTAAGTATAAAGTAGGAATTATGACCCTTCATCATATGATTTTCAGGTCAAGCTCTTGCCAACTTTAGGACAGCCATAACTAGTTCAGATGGTATTTTGGAGCAGTGGAGACTAGAGGATGAGGACCCTTGTAGGTGGAGAGGAATAACGTGTGACTCGAAATCGAGAAGAGTTACAACATTGTATGTTTCTTGATACTTCAGGATGTTTTAATTAATTCATATATATATATATATATATGTGTGTGTATATATATATGTTTTGTGTGTGTTTTTCGATTGAGATATTTTCAGGGGCACCATAACCATAGATTTTCCTTGTTTAGATCAGTAACTTGTTAATCTGTTCACGTAAGATTCCTGATATAAGAAACGCTGCATATGGTGATCCAGGGCAATTTATATCATCAACCCTGGTCTATGATATAGGTATTGAGATTGTAGAGCTATACTAGATACTTCACTTATTTAACTAGATACTATTAGAATAAATTATAATTGTTTGTTTGTTTGGTATCCTCTTCTTTATTAATAGTTGTACCTCTCGTAATTAAATCAGGCTTTATTCATCCAGTGATATGCAGTTCTAAATATCACATTACTTGACATGGCACTAAATATGAGAGTTTGTAATTTCTTTAGTTAAGTTATATCAATGACAAAACACTTGAGTTATTGTTTTGTACTATCATTTTCTTCTATAACTGGAATTTTTTTTCCTCAATTTCTTTAGCACTTTGAGGCGTCGTGCTCAATTTCTCTTCTATTTTGTTTTGTGCCATAAAAAAGTCATTTGCCATTTATCAGAATTCTTATTATTTTAGTTTTTGAAGTAAACTGTATTCTTTCTTCACCTTTTAAATTTACCAATGTGTAGAGCAGCTATATGGACACTTGAGTTATGTGCATATCTTAATCCTATATGTTATGATATATTAAATGGTGCAGGAGCCTTCCCAATCACAAGTTAACTGGACAGCTATCGCCAGATATTGGAAAACTAGAAAGTTTGCAGTTCCTGTATGCATCTTTTGCTTTTGTTCTTTCATTACTTAACTACACTTCCTACTAATAATGACCTGAACCACTTGCCTGTAGTGCTCTTCATGATAACAATTTATATGGGCCAATCCCTCCAGAACTGGGGAACTGCACACAGTTGCAGTCAATGTAAGTTTCTATTATGAGATTCTCAAAAAATTGCTGCTTTAGCATGGCTCATTACCCATATGTGTTGTACCATGCATAAAGCTCTTGGCAATGGTATTGTTCGCTGCCATAGTTCCTTTGTAAGGTGAAAGAAAAGAAAGTTGTCATCGATATAGTACACAAATGGCACTTCGTTGTTGCTGTCGCATCTCTTTACGATTTCCTTTAACATCGCTATTCTTTAGGTTGTTTCAAGTTTCTAAAATTGGGCAGATTATTTTGCTCAGCTATTTGTCTTGCTTTGTTGAGATTTCATTAAGCATAGCAGAGCAGAAAAGATCAAGATTTCACCTTAATATTATCAAAGTCGGCCTTCATTTTGCTTGAATCATGTGCAGATTTCTTGTTTCCTATTTCTGCAGATTTTTACAGGGTAACTACTTAAGTGGGTCGATTGCAAGTGAACTCGGGAACCTATCTCAGCTCGAAAATTTGTAAGTTACTCGCTGAAACTACTGAACTATTAATGTTTTGTATGCTTACATTGTTAGCATTGCTCCTCTCTAGTATCGGAGTTATGAGACAAGATATGCTTTCTGAAAAGATTACAAAGCTCTCACGAGAACTTTCTCACACATACTACAGCAATTGCTTAAAAATCAAAATATTAAAAGCGTGATTGTGATTCACTTTGTTAATGCATTCTTTCACGATGAAATCAACAAAACTTTCATGATCTACCGAATGGGCTTGATAGTCCTTTTGCTCAATGCTCTTTGTGGAATGATCTTTTGCCAGTTTATAAGCTATGGTCTCGCTGCTATGTAATGTAATGCATATTTTGGGTGCAAGACTCCTTGTAAAGTAACATGTTCATAAGCGCCTCTACGCAGGGATTTGTCAAGCAACTCTCTGAGTGGAAGCATTCCTGCATCCCTTGGGAAGTTAAGCAAGCTTGTGAAATTGTGAGTACATGTTATTTTTTGACTTACCTTAGTTCTTTGTTGTCTTCATTGGCCTAATCATTGTCTCGTTATTTTCCAAAGCAATGTTTCAACAAACTTTCTGGTGGGGCCTATCTCTTCAGATGGTGTTCTAGCAAACTTCCAGAAGGATTCGTAAGTGATATTTTTTGTTGTTTTTTAAGTAGACTGGATACCCTTCATCCCATTTATGGGTATGGTGCACTTGCATTTCTACTGTTTTTTTTCATCCCATTGAGTTTGTTCTTTTCTTAAGGCACTGAGAAATTTTCTTTTTGCATTTTGGCTAACTAAAATTTGCTTTATATCGGACCAAGTGAACTCTTAGTTACTTCATATACATAGTTGATAACAACAAGACCACTATTGAGATGTAGGATCACAAAAATTAATGTGAAACACTTCTGTAACTTTCGTATTAGCCAAATAAGAGGAATCCATCTATCCCTACCTGATATTTCACTTGGTTTTGTTTCTTGCTACGTTGTTGCGGTATTCGCTTGTTTTTTTTCTTTGTTGTACTTTAATTTCAGCTTTGCATTTTGATGCTTCTCTGAGCAGCTTTGTTGGAAACCGGGATTTATGTGGCAGACAACTACAAGTATGCCAGAACAAGGGTAGTGGTTCTTCCCAGCCTACAGATTCAGGTACAATGATTTGCTTGGAGGGGATAATGCTTATTCTTATTCTACTCATCCAGTGGCAAAGGTTTTATATTGCCAATTTCACTGATGGCGCTTAAAGATAAACCTTTCTGAGCGAGCAAAGAGGATGAAGCAGCTATTGCTCCCCTTTTTTTGCTGGGACAGAACCATCTGTACTGTGTATATGTTTGTGGAAGCAATTTTTAACTGAACAATGGATAATTTCATAGTTAAATGACTGCAACGTCTATTAAAAGAATACCACTTCAACCCCTATAAGGGTTGATGAGGGATTTGATTTCCTTCGTCATAGTAGAATATTGGATGGGTCCTGTATCACCTTGTGAATTCCAAGTGCATTTTTCTTCTATGCTCCCATCTTCTCTCTTTTTCTTGTTCCTATTCTGGTCCATATTTTCATTTGCTGTTCTGTTTCTGTTCCTGTAAATATAATGTCAATCAGAAGGAAATATTAGAAGCGCACTGGCCCGTGTCCTTCGTTTTTCAATTAAATCTTTCTTTATTTATTTATCTTATTTCTAATTTGTTTATTATGTTTCTAGCCCAATCCCAATCCAAAAAGAAATATTCCGGTAAGCTTCTGATTAGTGCACTGGCCACTGTGGGCGCATTGCTGATTATAGCTCTTATGTGTTTCTGGGGCTCTTTTCTGTATAAAAGGCTTGGTAAAAATGATGGCAAAGGACTCGCCATGGATGTTGGAGGTATAACTCCTGTAACCCATGCATGACCAATAACGTTTTCTGCTTTCATTTTAACTAACCAAAATTTATATTTTGATACTGCTTTAGGTGCCTCAATTGTAATGTTCCATGGAGACCTTCCATACTCTTCGAAAGACATCATAAAAAAAATGGAGAGTTTGAACGAAGAGCATGTTATTGGTGCCGGTGGCTTTGGAACTGTCTACAAGCTTGTGATGGATGATGGCAATTTATTTGCATTGAAAAGGATTATGAAGCTCAATGAAGGCTTTGATCGCTTTTTCGAGAGAGAACTTGAAATTCTTGGAAGCATCAAACATAGATACCTGGTGAATCTTCGTGGATACTGCAATTCCCCGACATCAAAGTTGTTGATATATGATTTTTTATCGGGAGGAAGCCTCGACGAGGCTCTTCATGGTTAGACCACTGTACTTAATCCGTACATTAAATTTACTCTGGTGATCCACTCATTCCCTTATCTGGTTCTAGTTGAGATGTATTTTTGGGGGTTTTCTAAACGGAGCCTGGATCCTTTTTTGGATGCTTTTAAAAATGAACTTCATTGATTGATTCAGAACATTTCTTCCTTGATGCACCAATTGTCGGACTATTGCCAAATTTGCTATTATGGAAGAAAAATTGATTAGTATGAGCTTGTTTATCTAGACTGTGTTCATAGCTTCTGAAGTGTGTAAGTAAATGACTGAAATCCGTAGGAAGGCTCATGTGCTGTTCATTTCTCAGTTGCTCTTTCTTCTTGTTCTTCATTTTTTTTTTGGTCTCAATGGATGCTCAAATAACTGATGTACCTAAATCTGGTTGTCAGTTTTCTAGTGAAGATTGAGTGATTTATGAGGCTTCCATGTTTCCTGTGCACAACAACATATTTTGAATCTAAATAAGGACTCCATCCCCATTGGGAAATAGCATCCAGCACGGAAAGCTGAAGATTAGAAAACTGGTGGCTGGTGAAGACTGAAGAGGGCAAGTTTTTAGCGTAATTTATTAATCGCTCTTATTCATTGCAAAGATGGGAAACATAGAGGGAAGCCCCAAGTAATCTGGACTTAGTCCAGACTCCAAATATCGACGAGGACGAAGAACCATTCCTTTTATTATCAGTTCTTTTGTGGTGCCATGCCCCATACTCTTAAATTAATCCAACATGTGCTAGCTTTCACTGTCCAAATATGTTTTTGTGTAGTTTTTCAGATGAGTAAATGTGGGATTATTTAGTGAAGGATCGACCTAGACAGAGGAAGTGGACAAAGCTCCTGAGGCTAGCATAGTGTATAACGACGTTAGAGAATGATTATTGTTTTGGTGGCAACCATAGATGTGTGATTATGTCGAAATTGAGGGCATGCTCAAGCAGCTTTACTCAATTCTATTTGACTATTACTATCTATTAGCACGTATCACATAATTTTAATAAAATATCATCTTCCGATTTGTGGAACTCTTTGAACCTTTGAAGTCCTAAGAAGTAATACGTAGAACTTTAGTAGAATGTGCTTGTTGTAAGACTAACTCTATGCTTGCATTCTCTTAGAAGTTGGAATGAGTATATTAATATTTTGGTTCTCATCTTTCATCTGTTCCTGCGAGTGTTTTAATTATCCCATTTTATGATATTCAATAGAACTGCCCTTTTGATGCAGAGAGAGGTGAGCAACTAGACTGGGAGACTCGCTTAAATATTATCATGGGAGCTTCAAAGGGCCTTGCTTACTTGCATCATGATTGTTCCCCTCGAATAATTCACAGAGACATCAAGTCAAGCAACATTTTGCTGGATGGAAATTTTGACGCCAGGGTGTCTGATTTTGGACTAGCTAAATTATTGAAGGATGAGGAGTCCCATATCACGACTATTGTTGCTGGGACTTTTGGATATCTGGCTCCTGGTTAGGATAAATAACTTGCTCTCTATTGGTTCCTTAACCTTTTCTTGCTGTTTTTAGTGTCGGTGGCTACAGTTACAAAGATGATTTTTGAAGTTACGTGTTGTTGATTTGCATTCATGTTTCTCTTCTAATAGTGATTCGTGAAGCCATTCTCTTCTATGCATGTGTGCAGTTGGTAGCTCTCTAGTTGGATATATATAATTTGTTGATTTTCATCCAGTTACTTAAGTTCAGTGGATTGATATTAAATTGCTGTTGTGTGGTATCGGGTTTCTAGATTAGCTACTCCATGATTCTAGGTATGATATGTAGAATCACCTTAACTGAGATGGATGCCTTTTTATTTTTTTATTTTTTATCTTTTAAAAGAGCTACATAAATTACTATTGAGGTTGCAGTATTTACAAAAGCCAGCGAACTTTGTAACCTTGTGATCTGATTATGTCTTACTTTTTTGTCCCAACTGATACTTTCCTGGTTAAACTAGACAACATCAGTGAATATTCTATTTACTCACACCCAACTTTTAAAATATTATAATTAACATCCAACTCCGCATGTTTACAAAAATTGCGGGATGTAAATGGAAAATGTTTGGTGAAAACATGTAATATGCAACTGTAAAATCATTTGATGATGGCAGTATTCTTCATTGGCTCTTCTGAATGAGTTACAATGTAAGACGAATAATAACCACAAGAGCAAAATTATTGTCATGTGATGTGATTTCCAAGTCGGGTGTTCCTTTTCTCTTTTTCTTGTTTTCTCACGGGACCAAACTTCAGGTTTAATGTTGTGATTATCTCTTTCATCTTCTACAAATTGAAGTTTACGAATGTCTTAATTCTGATTATATGATGTTATTTTACTGGTCAGAGTATATGCAGAGTGGTAGAGCTACTGAGAAGACAGATGTCTATAGTTTTGGTGTTCTGGTGCTTGAAATTGTGAGCGGAAAGCGGCCAACTGATGCATCCTTCATCGAAAAGGGTCTTAACATTGTTGGATGGGTATAGTTTTCCCTTCCTTTTAGCTCTCTAATATTTTTAGTTGATTACTCACCAGCCTTCGATTATTGGTGGATCTCTTATAAAATATATACAGCAAGACCTGAATGTGCCCATATGATATTCAACTTTAGTTTTGTAATATTAAGAGCATCTAGAATGCTTTGGAACTAATTCTGTTTACGTTGCATATAATTAAACCTAAATCTTGGATGACATGAAAAAAAAATATATAAAAGTAACAAAATTACCTCCAATGCAAAGAGAGACCAGGTCTTTACTTGGGTGTAAATTAGACTTAAAGTAGACCGTCTCTTTTTCTTGTTGCCACATGAGTAGGACCTAGTCCACTCGTACTTGCATTGAGTATAAATTTTTCTAGACCGTGTCTTGCCTGTATATTTTTTTGAATGAACCCAAAGCGATTTCTTTTTTTTTTTTTTGAACATTTAACCTTAGGATGCATAATTTATCCAAAATTCAGGTAGCAAATTCTCATGAAAGAAAATTAAAGAAGCCTTCATATTTCATATAGCTGACTTCATCGTTTACAGTAATCTCCAAAATGCATAATCCCATTTTGCATAAACATCATTTCCTTTGCCGATACCTGTATTACATATTTTTGTTCTCTTTTGCAGTTAAATTATTTAGTTTCCGAAAATAGACAAAGAGAAATAGTCGATCCACACTGTGAAAGAATTCATACAGAAAACCTTGATGCACTGCTCTCAATTGCGATCCAATGTGTTTCTTCAAGCCCTGAGGATCGACCCACAATGCACCGGGTCATTCAAATTCTAGAATCTGAGGTCATGACCCCATGTCCAAGTGACTTTTACGACTCGAGCTCAGACTAAGGGTTCTCATTTTATCCAAAAAAAAAAACCCAGGAAAAGTATTGAGCAACAGGTACACAGAAGGGGAACTCGGAATTTGTTTTTACCTATATTCACGGTGTAAATTTATTTGTTATTGTTTCTTTTGTGGAAAAAAAGTAACAAGCAGTAGGTACATTCAGTCATTCACCAGTGGGTAGTATTGTTTCTTTGTCTTCCATGTAAATTATTATTATTATTTTTTTCGATCACGGCAAGAAGTGGCGATTAGTTTTCGTTCAGACCTTGATTTTCCTCGTGTAATTTATCCTGAGTTATTTTGTATGCCAAAAGGATTTAGATGTCTTTACTGTTGCTACATACTGGAGGATCCTTGTAGTTGTTTCCATTCTTGTGTAATAATTTTGTTACTTTCATGTTCCGAGGGATGTTCGATTATTTCATTGTATTCAGAGTAAGTTCAACTCCTCATGTTAGCATGCCTAGGGTGTGTTTGAAATTTGGATATAAATAAACTTTAATCCAATTTCATTATTTTCAATATTATCAATATATATTTAAATAACACTAATCAATTATTTTTTCACTATTATAATTTAATTTAATTATCATTTCACATTCTATCTCTCTTAGTTTTACATTAAAACAACTTTAATTATTTTATTTTAAATATTATTTTAATATAACTAAAAATTATCACTAATAACT